AGTACTAGCTATTTTCTAATTTTTAACTGGAAGATAGGAACACACATGTCTTCACTTTTTGATAATTCATTGAGCTGTACATTTATGATTTATGCACTTTATGTGCCCGCCCAACAAAACATTGGCATTCGGTCCCTGTCTCAGGCTCTGTTTTCTAGTGAAAACAGACAGAGGGTGCTTTAGCTGATATCTGCTACATTCCAGGCACTACTGGGAGTATAGAATAAACAAACTGGGCTGTCTGTGAATTCTTGAAGCTGACAGTCTAGTTTCATTCTAGAATTACCCTTTAGGAGGAAGTTTAATACATTCAATGCAAGTTTTGAGTTAAATGTGAAAATGAAAAGTTAGCATAGTCCCTAAACTTTTTTTCCTTATTGTTAGCCCCTTTTCACCATACTGAAACCTCCTGACCTACACACTTGAGAGGAATAATACAGATTTAATTTAATTCCTGAGTATTTTGGTTGTGTGAAACCCAGCAACATATTACAATAATACTGAAGAGATGTCAAACACACACGAAAATACATGCCATGTGATTCCACTAATTAAAACACCAAAACCAACAAAACTAATCATGGGCATTACAAAAAGAGGAACACAATGCAACTCCAGAAAGTAACTTTAAAGAAACAAATATCTATCAGTTACATGATCTTGTAAAGATGTTTAAACACCCATATTTATTGCAGCATTATTCATAATAGCCAAGAGGTGGAAGCAACCCAAAAGTGCCTCAATGGATGAATACAGAAAATGTGGTAAAGACATACAAAGAAACATGAACCAGCATTGCAAAAGAGGAAATCCAATCACATGCTACAACATGGATGAAACTTGGGCATCTTGTGACAGCCCAAGGGGTTTTCCTTTCCCACTGCCTAGACAAAGCTGCTTTATCAGGACAGGGGAATTGCAATATAGAAAGAGTAATTCACACAGAGCCAGCTGCATCAGAGACTGGAGTTTTATTACTACTCAAATCAGTCTCCTGGAGCATTTGAGGAGCAGAGTTTTTAAGGATAACTTGGTGGGTGGGAGGAAGCCAGTGAGCCAGGAGTGCTGATTGGTCAGAGATGAAATTACAGGGAGTCAGAGCTATATTCTTGCACTGAGTCAGTTCCTTGGTTGGGGGGATGGGGGGCGGCTACAAGATCAGATGAGACAGTTTACTGATCTGGGTGGTGCCAGCTGATCCATCAAGTGCAGGGTCTGCAAAATATCACAAGCACTGATCTTAGGAGCAGTTTAAGGAGGGTCAGAATCTTGTAGCCTTTAGCTGCATGTCTCCTAAACCGTAATTTCTAATCTCGTGACTAATGTTAGTCCTACAAAGGCAATCTAGTCCCCAGGCAAGAAGAAGGTCTGCTTTGGGAAAGAGCTGTTACCATTTTGATTAAACTATAAACTAAGTTTCTCCCAAAGTTAGTTCAGCCTACGCCCAGAAATGAACAAAGACAGGTTGGCAGTGAGAAGCAAGATGGAGTCAGTTAAGTCAGATCTCTTTCACTGTCTCAGTCATAATTTTGCAAAGGGAGTTTCGATCTCATGCTAAGTAAAATAAGCCATCACAAAAAGACAAATACTGTATGATTCCTCTTATTAAATAAGTTATTAAGAAATAATTTGTAGGCAGCTACAAAAGGTATAGGTTCTCAGTGGAAATTTTCCTGTAATAAGAAGCAACCCCTGGAACCATTTATTTTCTAACAGAAAAGCCAACTTAGAGAGCCAGACTGGCAAGCTTTGATATCCAAATACTCACGATTAGAAACCTAAGATGGCCAACATGGCAATTCCCACCCTTTTCTGCTTGTCACCACATGTGCCAGTGTGCAGTGTGATGGCCACCTCCAGATAACTCACACATGTGTGTTCAGGACATCATGGTCTCCCACATTTGCATATTAAGGTGAAAGACCCACATTTTTCATGGGCTACATGAATGATACCCCTGGTCAAACCAATCCCCTGGGTCCTATGCAATAACCAACTACTTTTCAGGCACACACGGGGTTTCTCTTTGTTCAGAGTCCCTCTCCCTCTGTCTCTGTACAAGGAAGCTGTTTTCTTCTTTCTTTTTTCTTGCCCATTAAATTATTCACTCATTAAAACCACTCTGCATGTCTCCATATCTCCATATCATTTATCCAATTAGTGCAAGACCAAGGACCCTGGTCATCATCCAGTCGTTGGAGCTGTATCACTCTCACATGAGGTATCCAAAGTAGATATAGAACGAATATGGAACAGAAATTAGAATGGGGGTTACCAGGGATTAGGAGCAGGAAGGAGAGTAATAGTTGTTGTTCAAAGGGTATACAGTTTCAGTTTTGCCAGATGAAAAAGTTCTAGAGATTTGTTACACAGCAATATGAACATAATTACTACTACTGATCTATACACTAAAAAGTGGTTAAGATAATGAATTGTATGTGTTTCGACAATTTAAATTTTTTAAAATTAAACATTAAAAATTGATTTAAGGAGAATATTGCTTTATTTCTTGCACACCTGCCTTTACACAGAACACACACACAAAAACCCTTTTGTTCCTAGGTCAGTGGTTCTCAACATGGATGTGAGGGGATTTTGTTCTCCCTCTATCAAGAGACATTTGACAATATCTGATGATGTTTCTGGTTGTTACACATAGGGTGGGGTTGTGCTGGCATAGGCCAGGGAGTCGGCTGAGCATCCTACAGTGCCCAGGATAACCGCCTACCCCAAACAATTACCCAGTCCAAAAGGGCATTGTAGCTTATTTGAGCAACATGTCCTAGATTATTAATCAGAATGTGTTATCGATATACCAGTGTTTTCCCTTCTAGTTAGGTTGGTAGAGTTCAGACTTCGGAAAAAAACTGAGAATATAAAAGGCGGAATGAGTGTAAACTGAAAGACAAGAGAGGCGTTTTGTTTGGAGCTTACTGAAGACAAAATGGAAAAAAAAAGGAGGTTGGGGAGAGGAAGACAGCCAACAGACCACTTAGAGGCCATAATTCTGCAGGGGTCTGTGCTAAGCACCTTACATGTGCTGTCTCACATAATCCTTAAAATCAGAGATCATTTTAAATTAAATAGCACAGAAAGAAAAACAGAGTGGAGAGGGAGTCCTTGCTTGGGTAGCCAACTTCAACTGGTTTATTGGCACATTCCCCTAAAAAAAAGGCGGTATAATTGCTCCTGACACGGCCGGTTCCTGCTTAACCAAAGCTCAGGAGGAGAGCTGCATTCCACTGTTTCACAGATGCTGTGAAGGTGACAAAGATGCAGAGCACCCATGGGAAAAACAGCTGGCACTTTGAGAAAGGGGAAGGGGCACCAGGAGCTCAGGTGAGCGAGGTCAAAGGTGTTATAAGTAAAACTTCAGTGCTGCAAAAGAAATAGCACTTGAAGAAAAATCCTCTCAGAAAGGCAGTTTACTTCCATAGAAGGGTGTGGCTCACAGATTTAGCAACCGAGGCTGAATGTTTGGACAAGGGGGGAAAGGGATACTTATGCCTCATGGGGGCCGTCCCTATTGCTGTGTCATTCCCCTACAGGCTAGGGTTAGACTGCACAGGCTAGACTAATCCCGACTGGCTATTTTAAAGAGAGCAGGGATCCGAGCTGGAATGGCTGGGTGGGTGTTTTGTCAGGAAGGATGATTACAGGAGGGTCAGAGCAGGTAGCCAGGGGGGATCTAGGTCAAAGAAGGTTACCGGAGCAGGTAACTGGAATAAATCAGGACAGAGCCGGGGGCCAGGGGAACAGATGTGAACTATTGATTAGAACCTGTGGAGAAGGTTGTTTACTGGAATTACAAGGAAGTTAAACCTTAAAATAGAGAATTAAAGAATAAGAGAGCTGAACATACTGACATACTAATTCTCTGAAGAGAAACTTGGGGTTCACTACACCAGGGTGATTCTGCCCCTCTCCCCAGGCTTTCTGGGTGAGTCCATTCCCCTCTTCAGACTCATGGTTAGAACTTAAGCCAATTACATTTAGTAGTGTCTGTAACATTCAGACCCTGAGAATTAATCCAGCCTTTCTAAATAGTGTTTCTTAAGTCTTTTCTTCAATAGAAGAGTTAGTGTTTTGAATTAAGTGCAGAACCCATGGGCCTCTGATGTGACAGTGATGGTTCAGGCTGTGTTTCTGGGTTCATTCTGCCAGCTGCCCCAAGGAAAGGAGGAAGGAAGCTTGCACGATGGGGCTGTGCAGTCACCTGGCTGACTCAGGTTTCCTTACCTGATACATTAAAGTCAGCTTCCAAAGAATGCCCAGCCAAGGGTTTGAAGTGGCACAGTGGCTCTGTCCTCACAAAACCAGCCTACATGTGAGTTTGTCGCATTTGTTTAGGTCCTGCTAAATCTTTCCCATTTGTTCCTTCTCAAGCTTCACTACTTCCCTAGAGTAGCCCAACCTTTCCAGAGGGCAAAGATGTTGCCACAGAAAGAGAGTAGCCAGAGGAGGAAGGTGACTTTAGGGTAGGTGGCAATTGGGCAATGAGTGTTGAAAGGCTGCTTTCAGCCTGCCAAGGGCTTGCTTGGGGAACTAGAAAAAGAAAAATAAATAAAATAAAAAACAAAATATATACATAAAAAACAAATTTTTAAGGAAGTTTTTTTCCCTGTATTCTATAATACTATTATTAGCTATGTATTATTGAATGTTAATTGAAAGCAATATCATCATTATTGCTGTGATTATTATGGTTACTTATATATGATAGAATATTTTTATTTATAAGTATTAGCAATATTCCTATTATTAGTTACATATTATTGAAAGCTTCAAAGCAGCATAGACTTTTTATAAATATTTTTGCTCATCTTTGTGACAATTCTCCAATGTTGGTATTGCTCCTCTATTTACCAAATTAGAAAAATGAGGCTCTAAGACCAGACTGGCCTAATAAAGGGTAACTTGAATGTCTCAAAGTGGCAATTCACACATAAATCTTTGTGCTCATGAATTCTCACAGTCATAAGTTGGTTCTTTTCGTGATTTTTCTGAAGTTGCTAGAAGTTTACAGAAAAGGAAGGGCAGGCACATTTCACAAATCTACAACCTCTAAGTATCACATCCTGTATAGCTGCAAACACTGGAATAAGGAAGGGCGGATGACTTTCAGAAGATGAACGTATGTAGAAACCATTGGTGGGACTAAGAACCCAGACACTGTCCAGCTCCCTGCTGGAAGCTTCTGAGGACTCAGCTGGAACCAAAGAGCACAGGTAGGTAATGCTGAAAGACTTTTCTCGTCTCACCATTCCCTTGCTGTAACCTCGTTGGAGGAGTAATTTGACTTGAAACTCCTTGACAGCAGTTAAGAGACACTAGAGCATTTTGGAGTGGGCAAATGGAAGGAGCATTTGGTTTTAACTCTGTTTCTTCTGTATTCTAACTGCATGATCCTGATGAGTCACTTACTTAAGGTTGTGTAATTAACGGGAGCAGAGCTCTTGTCTCTTCAAATGTTCTTAGGCCATTTGCAAACAGGGCAGTCTGTGGGCTAAGAATGGTGCAGTGAAAAGAGATCCAAGCTGAGCTCAGCAACAAATACCACAGCCAACTTTGTCCTTATGTTAACAAGTGGAGGATCCAGGACGCGAGCCCATGTCTTATGACTCCAAGACTTGTTTTCATATGACTGCATGCAGCTACTTCTCCAGCCTGAGTAAACTCAGACACATGCTGGCATTGCCAGGTGGGAAAGTAGGAAGAGGTTGAATAATCTGGAGATTTATGCAGAGGCTTCACACTCAAGGAAAGCTGGGCCCCAAGACTGGCTTTAGAACTTCCCAGCTGTGTGAACAGGGTTGAATAAGAAGGGTAACTGCAAATCTTTCTTCAGAATTAGCTCTATGCCATGCATATATGCAATGTGTATATTATTCACATTCATAACTTAAAACTTTATTTTGCATTTTCTTATTTATTACATGTTTGTACTAACTTATTAACATGTAGAGCTGTCGTAAGGATTAAAACCATTGCATGATAAGAATTAAGAGCATGTCTAGTAAAATATGATAGATGTATCTACAATGAATGCTAATAAATCATATTAGACAAAAATAGATAAGCAGAGTTCATTTATTAGTCTAAAACATTCATCAAATATATGGCAATATAGCTGTTGTCAGTAAGACTAGGGGAAGGGAGATTGCTGCATATTGCAAATTTTGTGAGACCATTTGCCTCTGGATATTGGGACCTCTCAAGATTCATGCTGCTGCCACCCTGTGATATGTTTATTATCTATAATGGATTGTGTCAAACATTATGGAAAAATCCTTATGAAACCAAGGTTGTGTGGTTTTCACTGCTCCATACTACCAGTTTCTTTTTCTAACAGACAGGCCAAGTCTGAACTAATTGGCAGAAACTGACTTACCAGTTTTGCAGCCAGAATCTGAGAGCTCTGTACTTTTTAAGAGCTAAATCTATTTTTTTTTCCATAGTTGGCAGCACCATCATGACATCACAATCTGTTCCCGACGAGACCATCATAGTGCTCCCATCAAACGACACCAACTTCTCCCAAGCAGAGAAACCCAAACCCACCAACCAGAGGCAGGATAGCCTGAAGAAACGTCTACAGGCAAAAGTCAAAGTTATTGGGGTAAATCTCATTCAGAACATGCTGGAGGTGGGTTGGGGGAAGGCGGAAGGGATGATGTATGTTTTGGGATTGGACATCCATTGTGTGTCGAGAGCCTTAAGTTTTGCCAGAAGGACTTAAGGGTAGAAGCCACTTGGAGAAAGCTGTCCCAGAACTTTCGCACAAGAGGTTGTCTTAAAAGTATTTATTCCTGGCCAGGTGCAGTGGCTCATGCCTCTAATCCCAGCACTTTGGGAGGTTGAGGCAGGCAGATCAAGAGATCAGGTGATCTGCCTGCCTCGGCCTCCCAAAGTGCTGGGGTTACAGGCGTGAGCCACTGCACCTGGCCTGGCAGGGTTACATTACAAGTGCCAAGGTTTTAATCCTCAGTCCCCCTTTCTCTTTCCACAGATTATCCAGATCTCGTGTGGTATGAAGGTGTTAAGCTTGGGAATCATTTTGGCATCTGTTTCCTTCTCTCCAAATTTTACACAAGTGATTTCTACACTGCTGAAGTCTGCTTACCCGTTCATAGGACCCTTGTTGGTGAGGAGAGTTTCTGAAGAGGGAAGCATGGGAGAAGAGGGAAGGAAGATGCCAATAGCTTAAACTCTCCACCTGCCACCTTGCTATGTTCTGTCTGCCAGGAGCGAGGAGTCCATGGTGAAATTTGTTCTCCTGTGTGTATAGTTCAGGGAGGACTCAGTGGGGTAGGATGACAGGGGTTGCCTGATTTTGATCAACTTATCAGACTCAAATAAGCATTTCTTTTAAAGATCATCTTGTTTTTTACCTAATCATCTTGAGCTGTGATGAAGCTAGTGACAAAACATCCATAAATTAGGATAAAGTTGGGAAGGATCTTTTGCTATTAAAAAAAATGAGCATCAATGGAAGACATCATACACTCACAGAAAAACCACACAGATGCTTGCGCGGATTATGGAGGAACGGAAACTTTCACCTCTGAGCTTTTTGAAAATGCTTTCACGGCATTGACTGATGCCCAGGGAAGGCTGAGCACTTGTCTATGTCCCAGGGATGGGCTGGAAATTCCTCTGAAATAGCTGCAGGTCTAGGGTTTCAAAAGGACTTAGTAGTCTTTTTCTCAGAAAACTGCTTTCTCTTAGATTGAGGCTTTCTCATAATTAAGCTTCTCTTTCAACTTCCTGAAACTCCGTACCTGTTATTAGCTCCTTTTTTATATTTGTTTATTTGATGCATCAAGAAGTCCACCTTTTTTACTATCTTGTCCATTTTTCCTCTTTTATTATCTAAAGTTTCATTTGGATTTGGATCTCAAAGGTTTTCCCAAATGACCTTTTTTTCTGTGTCAAGATCCATGCAAGGCTATTACATTACACTATATTACATTTCGTCATGACGTCTCAGGCTCCTTTAGACTTGCTCAGATTTTCTTTTTCCTTGAGGACTTTGATAGTTTGGAGTAGTACTGGATGAGATTTTTATAGCATGTTCCTAAATTGGGGTTTGTCTGATATTTTTCTGATGTTTAGACTTGAGTGAATTTTTGGCTGATGATAACAGAGGTAAAGCACCATTTTCATCAAGTCACATCAAGGGTCATGCTACCAACTTATCGTCACTGATACACTTTACCTTGATCATGTGTTTGGGGTAGTGTTTTCCAAGTTTTTACTCTATAAAGTTACTGCTTCTTTCCCTCCTTTTTCTATAATCCATTCTTTAAAAGCAAGTCACCAAGCACAGTCCACCTTTGAAGGGGCATCTAATTCATATTTTTAAGGACTTGGGGTTTGTTTATATAGACAAATAATTAAATACCTGGGTCACAGGAATCACAACTTTTCTTTGAACTTTGTCCCCCTTTTTTCTAACTGCCAAATAATTTTCTGTTCCTTAATGGCACTAAATCTGGTAGATCATGAATATTCTAGAAGATGAAAATTTCTTTGATTGTGTAAACACAGCCTTGAAGGTTTTCTGCCATCCATTCTTGTCTTTCCTTCTGTTCTCATTGACCATTTTATCTTAAACTGGGGAGCCAGCAATGTAAGATCCATGTCTCTGACCTTCCATATCTGTTAGCTTTTCCCATCTTTTATTTTCTTTTCAAGAAGACCTAGTAACATTTCTCTGGTCTTCCAAAAAACTGAAGAGGAGGGAGTATTTCCAAACTCATTTTATGAGGCTAGCATTATCTTGATGTCAAAGGTAGACAAAAACATACAAGAAATCTCCAGATCAATATCCCTAATGAACATTGATGCAAAAATCTTCAACAAGATACTGGCAAACTGAATTCAACCACATGTTAAAAGGATCACTTCCTATAATCAAGTGAGATTTATTCCAGGGATACAATCATAGCTCAACATACATAAATCAAATGTGCTGCATCACATCAATATAACAATGTATGAAAACCACATGATTCTCTCCATTTCTTTTCTCTTTCCATACCATTGCTTTCATGTCATTCTCTAAAGAACATCCTATACCAAAATTTTCTCATTTCATTAAGAAAACAAATGTTATTTCCTGGCTTTTAAGGTCTTCATTTTGTTTATTTGGATATATTTCTGCTTTTTTTTTTTCCTGTTGCTATCTGAACACTATATGGACAAACGGGATAAATCTGTCTTTAAATGGATCTTGCCTCATTGATCATTTGTCCCCCAGGGCTTTTCCCATGAGAGTTTTCTATAAACATTGTGATAGTGACCTTGCAGTTTCTCTTTACATGGAAACTCACCTGACCATTTTCTCTTTTATCTTAGTTTGTCATCTCTGGCATTCTATCAATTGTCACAGAGAAAAGGTTAACCAAGCTTTTGGTGAGTATGAGAACTATAACCCACAATTCAGTGGTTCAAAATGAAACTTAGAACTCATTAGGGCCAGTCTTCCTACTTTGAAAAGCTGAAAACTCAGTTCCAGAGCAGTTAGTTGTTAGAGTTAGTAGCTGCACCTGGATGCTCCATAGCCTTGTTCAGAGCACATTTCTCCAATTATTGTACCTTACATCAGAGTCTGCATTCAGGGAATTATAACATCCTTTCAGCCGGTATCCAAGATTCTATCACAGAAAAATCTTGCTTATTTATGATGCCCTTTTGGTGATAACTGGCCTTCAAGTTTAGGTTTTCAATGGCAAGGAAGCTGACAGTGTTATAAAGAGGTCTATTGGTTGGGGTTCACTGTTTAAGCCCAGGTGTTACAACCCTTGAAAAAAAAATGAGTCAACATGCTGCTTATGTGTGGTACTATGTCTCATTCTTTCATCTATCTCACCAGAAAGATAATACTTTTGTTTTGTTTGAGTATAAAGTCTTGCACCCTAAAAGTTGTCCTTAGTCATTTGTATTGGCTAAGAAAAAAAAAAAAAAGCTTTACCTGCCTTTATCTCCTATTCCAGCAAAAACTAGAGTTGAAAGTGGCAGGGGGAGAAAGGCTGGATTATAGCCAGAAGTGTTTCTTGTCTGTAAAGTTTCATTAAATCTTCACTCAATCCTATATCCCTCAAAGGGTTGATGTTGGAGATTATATGAGAGAATGTCATATAATTTAATTGCACAGAAACTCAATTTGGAAACTCTGGCTACAAAAAGCTTCCAAAGCCATCAAGAAAAAGTCCCAATTCTTTTTTTCCCTCTTTGCTATTTAGAGATTATTATTTGGAACCCTGAGTTACACTCCAAACTTTCTACAATGGAAATGAAATGTAACTTTGTGTAATGATGGAAATGTACAACAGTTGTACTGTACAATATTGCCATCACATATGGCTACTGATGATGTGAAATATAGATAATGCAACTGAATAAAAATTTTACTTAATTTTACTTTAAATATAAATAGTCAATGTGGCTATTGGCAACAATACTGAGTAGAGTATAGCCTAGCACAAGGGTAGTCTTTTCAAACTTCTAGGAGGAAATATCTGGGCCTCTTCCTCCAGAGAACAATCCCACAGTGAACATGCAGGAAGCTCAAGGATGCAGGTTGTGGTCTCAGGGTGGGCTCAGACTCACTAGAGATTTCCAGGCTTTAGTGAGTTCTCCTCTTGTCACACATTGTACCAGCCCTTTCTGAGATTGCAGAAGAGTGCCGTCTCAAGGTGAATCTAGCTTATTCTAAGATACATACTCTGGGCATCAGGACTACCACTGGCTACTAGAAGCCCCAGGAGTATACACTTTAGTCATTATGTTGGGAAATCAGAGTCCCAAAGCATCAACTGGTGAGTTCCTAAAAAGAAGTGCCCATGTGGGATTACCTAACACTCTACTGTACAGCTGTGGGGTGTGCCCTGGAGGCTGCCTACCTATAACTACAGCTTTCAGAATGCTCTTAGCTCAATTCTCTTTTCTGTGTGAGTTGGAGTAGAAAGGAAGTCACTCTGAGATCAGTTTATTTATTCCTTTTACTTTATAAATGTAGAAATGAGAACCAGAGTGAGAAATAAAACCAAGAAACTGAGTACCCAAAGGAACAAGCTAAGTCAAGTCTATACTGTGACCTCAGTTTCTTGACGTCCAATCCAGACCTTTTCTTCTACCTCCCATTGCCTCCCACACACGACACCGTCCTTGGGCCTACACCTAGACATCTGTCCACAGCCATCCCATGCTGCACTAAACGTGGCCAGTCATAGCCTGCCCGGGTTCTAGGGCCTGCCTGAGACTCAGAACCATCCCTTCACACTCATGTTTCAGAGGTGTGCTTTTGAGAGGGGCAGTGGGCACACAAGAGTGCACTATTGGGTTGGTGCAAATGTAATTGCGGTTTTGCCATTGAAAGTAGTGTCAAAAACAGAAATTACTTTTGCACCATGTTAATATACCATCCACCTTTTCTGTGTGGCTGATGCTTCCATGAGGGGTTTCTGAGTTGGCCAAGAGAGAAACTGCATTTGGTACATTGCCACCTTTGCTTTTGGTCACACTCATAGTAATTTTGCAGGCAAGCCTCGTTGAGGCCATACTACCAGTCGCAGAGAAAGAATTTAGGAGAGTAACATTCTCTACCATACCACTGAAGTCCTGCTTTAGGGGAATCAGTTCACATATTCATTCATTAAGCCAAGATTTACCTTAGAGATTCAGAGATTTTTGCTGGACACTGAAGAAGCATACAGCAATGAATGATCATTCCTAGACTTCCTGAGGGAGACAGATAAGGGAATAACTTGCAGTGTAATGGCAAAAAAGGGTAAGAGAGATTCACAGGTCATTGGGAATGATCCCTACCCAGCATTTCTCTTTCAGGTGCACAGCAGCCTGGCTGGAAGCATTCTGAGCACTCTGTCTGCTCTGGTGGGTTTCAGTATCCTGTCTGTCAACCTGGCTGCATTAAATCCTGCCTCACTGCAGTGTGAGTGGGACAAAAACTATGCATTGGATGTAGCGAGCAGACGTTTTCTTTATTATGAGTATTATGAATCACCTTACACCATGGACTGCTGCCATAGAGAAAAAGCCAGTCTGGCTGTAAGTATTTTATAGATGGGATGTTCCAATTTTATGGGGCTTCTGAAAGCTTTGATTTCTTGTTATTCCTTCCTTTGAAAATCTCTCTGCTAATTCTGCTTTTGGCATCTGGAGAAAGGCCAGGGTTATGTAAATCAAAGGGGGACTACATGGATGAAATCAAGGGGATTACATACTAATAGAGTGGAATTGAAAATGTCAAATCATGATGATAAAAAAAAAAAAACCAAAGCATATTTTGTAGAATTTCTTCATTATCAAACTAATTTTGGAGAGGCATAAATTATGAGTTTGTCAAACTGAGAATGTTGGTACGTAGAGTGGTGAATTCAGATTGGCAAATAGAGCAGAAAGACTCAGGTGACCAGAAACTGCCAACAAAAAAACCTGGTATGTGTGTGTGGTAGGGGGTCAGTTTCATCTAAAAAATCATCAGACTAAAGACTAGGAAATAGAGAATAGGAAATAGGGGATTAGAAGGTAAAGTCTGCTCCTTCTAATGATCACAATAATGAATAATACGAATTAGGTGAGAAGGCAACATTATTGTTGCTTTTTGTTCTAACTGGAGTGAGATATATGAAATCAGGAGAAAAGAAATGTAGGGAATTAGACAGTGTAACTGAGAATGAATGCAGGAGAATTCTCTCTCTTTGGAAGAAGAAAAACAATGAAGTTTGGCTAACAGAAATAATATATGTCTGAAGTTGAAAGACTAAGGGGCATGTGCATGGTCAGCAACACATTGAAAGGAAAACAGGCAACATTAGAGTAAAGCAGTTGCAGAGTATTTATTGTCCCGCAATCATAAATATAAGATCAGCCAAGAACTCAGTGGGAAGACGGACAGACAGAAATATTTGGTCAAAATCGTGCTTGCACAGCACTCATTATAAAGTGGACCTTGCTCCCAGGGTAATGGTATAATGCGGAAAAAGTACAAGCAAATGAGGCTGACAGTAACTGGCACAAAGTAACATCTGGCACAGCCAATTCCACCTTGAAAAAAATTCTGGAGAGAAATTTGGGAGTGATAAAGTATAAATTCATGATGGGATGATTTTACATTAGAAATAAGAGAGAGTCTGTTGAGCTTGCTTGCTGGAACTATTTCTAGATAATGGGCACAAGGTGTATCTTCTCTTTAACTGTGTGTAAATACCACAAAATAGAAGTTCATGTGATCAGATTATCTATCTTTATTATCAGATGGCCAGTTCTGCACAAGGAATGTCTCAGGACAGAAATGGTAGAACCCATCCTTTCGAATTGGTGTTGATGATTAGCAATTCTGACAGTTTACTACCTTCATTGTTTTTTCCAAGCCTTAAAGCCACCAAAGAAAGCAAAAATAAAGACAAAAACAACAAAAATAAAACACATCCAGAGGGGTTCAGATATGTAGACAGGGATGTCAGTACTGAATTTTACAAAGGGCTTACACAGCCAAAACCTCCTTGATCCTCACAAATCCCTCAGAAAGAAATGTTAGTCTGCATATTTGATAAACAAGGAAACAGGACCTACAGAAAGAGAGAGACTCATCCAGGCTTACACAGCTACTAAGCAGTAAAGGTGAGACTAGAATGTAGCTCCTGATTCTTAGTCCTGGGAGTTATTGCACCACTCTGCTTTCTTACTGACTGAATAATGTCATTAGAACTATCGATGTCTCAAAGAAGTAAGAAACAATTGTATGAAGTGGATTAGTTGATTTAGTTACTACTCATCTTCCCTTCTCTCAAGGAAATGAATGAGTGAAAGGGTTGAATTTAGATAATTGTGAGGTGTGGGAGGAGCAGTTTTGCTTTCCTGACGTGTCCTTACTTCAGTCTCTAATGCAGGTGTCCCCAAATTACGCCCCGCAGGCCGCATGTGGCCCCCTGAGGCCTTTATCCGGCTCCCCGTCACACTTCAGGAAGGGGCATCTCTTTCACTGGTGGTCAGTGAGAGGAGCACAGTATGTGGCGGCCCTCCAACAGTCTGAGGGACAGTGAACTGGCCCCCTGTGTAAAAAGTTTGGGGACACCTGCTCTAATAGTTGAGGTGGTCTTCATCTTTATGGTCACCTCTCAACCAGGCGTGAAGGCTTTGGCTGACCCAAGCACCACCAATTTTTTATTTCTTGACTTTCAGGGAACTCTGTCTCTGATGCTGATTTGTACTGTGGTGGAGTTCTGCCTGGCTGTGCTCACTGCTGTGCTGCGGTGGATACAGACTAAGTCTGACTTCCCCGGGTGAGCGTGCTGGCTGGCCTTGCTTAATCTTGCCTTGTGCGTCTTATCTCTGTACTGTGTTGAGTATGCTGTCAAGAGTGGTAGAAGGAAACCTCAGCCAGTCATGAGATACACGTGGGAGGTCATCTTCATGGTGATGGAAGACAGAGAGGAAAGGCAGATGGCAGTTGAGTAGCTGACAAGCTGAGAGTTCACTGGATATGAAAATAGTTAAACATGAGAAATCAATTGGTTCCATCTTCCCATTTTGTCAATGGAGGGAATGACACTCTGGGAAGTCAAATGACTTGCTTGGTTTGCCTGGCATTATGCTGAGTTCGTGCCTGTGCTGAGGACACTAGAACCCGGCTTGCCTCCCTCCTAAGTGGAAACAATTTCTGCCAAAATCACTAGTCTCTTGATTAGTATTGACTCGGTAAAGGGCATTTACACATGTGACTAGTTCCAGTGAATGTCTTATGCTCTGCGTTTTCTCCTGGTGATCTTAAAATTCTTTTTCCTCTTAAAAGATATATTAAACATGTATTGTTGAATCAAATTCCATAGGATACCATCACTATGGACTCATGGCTTTAACTGAATTTAAAAGCCTTAATTTATACAGAATTTTATTATAGAGAGTAGAATAAATACTAGGCTGATAAATTGCAATTATTTGAAGAACCTAGTGATCTGCTCTACTTATCTTGGATTAGTGAAGAATTCTATGTATACAGTTGGAAAAAAATGGCATATATACATGTATCTTGAACCAGAGTGAAGTTTGAAGACCGAACTTAGTTTGTTTCTTCTAGAGTGTGCTGTTCCTGCCTCACAGTTACATTGATAAATCGGCGTGTCCTCAAAGATGACTCATGACCCTGGATATGAAGAACCATTGATTTCTTAGGAAACAAGGGAGCAATAGTAATTGGAAAGTTGATTCTAATGATAACATGAAAAACCTAACCATTATCAAAAAGCAAACTTTAGTTTCCTACATGTAAACATTTAAAGTAATGAATATTTGTTTCAAAAAAATTATTTCACTGTCATTTAAGGTGTGTGTTCATTGGGGATCTCTTGATTTGCCTGATATTGACTTCAACAAAAGCACAGGGCTGTTAATTACCATTTACTAGACTAGTCAAATAGTCATAGACATATCCCAGAAAACTAGGCAGGATGATGATTCGATGGATCACAATGAAGCAAAGGATATAACTTTTTCTTCTACCCCTTAATTGTCAACAGGAGTTAACTGATTTGTTGTGGTGCACAGACTCTTATCACAGGTGCTAGTCATTCATCCCATGTGTTTTACTCATTAGTGCATAAAGGCAAATCCCATAATGAAGTCTCAGGGTGTATGAAAGTAGCTGGCTTCAAAATAAAATCTTTGAGTGCACATTTTAATACTTATTTTGTTGTTTTTTCCATTAAACACAGAATAAGTCAACAATGACAGACATAAACCCAAATTTGAACTCCACTTTCTCCCTACCAGTATTCAAACAAAACTAATGAATGAACGAATGTTAACCAGGAATATTTGCCTGTTATGAAGAGAAAACCAGTTCATACTTATTTCCCTATTTCAAAATAAGACCAATTGTTTCAGTATAAATGTTAAGCCTCTTTTGTAAAGTGTCTGTTCATATCCTTCGCCCGCTTTTGAATGGGCTTGTTTTTTTCTTGTAAATCTGTTTTAGTTCTTTGTAAATTCTGGATATCAGCCCTTTGTCAGATGGGTAGACTGCAAAAATTTTTTCCCTTTCTGTTGGTTGCCAATTCACTCAAATGACTGTTTCTTTTGCCATGCAGAAGCTGTGGAGTTTGGTTAGGTGCCGTTTGTCTGTTTTGGCTTTTGTTGCCAATGCTTTCGGTGTTTTGGTCATGAAGTCCTTGTCTACGCCCATGTCCTAATGGTTTTGCCTAGACTTTCTTCTAGGGTTTTTATGGTGTTAGGTTTTATGTTTTGAGGCCAATGAAAAAATGCTCATCAACACTGGTCATTAGAGAAATGCAAATCAAAACTACACTGAGATACCATCTCACACCAGTTCGAATGGCGATCATTAAAAAATCTAGAGACAACAGATGCTGGAGAGGATGTGGATAAATAGGAACACTTTTACACTGTTGGTGGGAGTGTAAATTAGTTCAAACATTGTGGAAGACAATGTGGCAATGCCTTAAGGACCTAGAAATAGAAATTCCATTTGACCCAGCAATCCCGTTACTGGGTATATAGCCAAAGGATTATAAATCATTCTACTGTAAGGACACATGCACACGAATGTTCATTGCAGCACTGTTTACAACAGCAAAGACCTGGAACCAACCCAAATGCCCATCGATGATAGACTGGACAGGGAAAATGGGGTGCATATACACCATGGAATATTATGCAGCCATCAAAAACAATGAGTTTGTGTCCTTTGTAGGGATATAGATGAACCTGGAAACCATCATTCTCAGCAAACTGACACAAGAGCAGAAAATCAAACACCACATGTTCTCACTCATAGGTGGGTGTTGAACAATGAGAACACATGGATACAGGGAGGGGAGCACTACACACTGGGGTCTGTTGGGGGGAAATGGGGGAGGGACAGTGGGGGGTGGGGAGTTGGAGAGAGATAGCATGGGGAGAAATGCCAGATATAGGTGAAGGAGAGGAAGGCAGCAAATCACACTGCCATGTGTGTACCTATGCAACTATCTTGCATGTTCTTCAAATGTACCCCAAAACCTAAAATTCAATTTAAAAAAAAGGCTCACCATGCCCATACACATGTGCACATACACACAAACACACACAGGTGTGAAAATGTGTTTAAATTTTACATGAACTTCACTTCTTTGGAAGATCTGGTCATGTTTCCCTTGCTCTGACCTTCTGTAGAAGAGGTTATACTCACTGTATTAGATATCCTGATACTCAAGACACTTCCTCTGCTCTTTTTTTCCAGTCTCAAACTGAACTGTCAGTTTCTTTGATTTTAGCTTTACATTCAAACTCTGTTTCATTATGTCTTCTCCCTGTCCTTTGTACCCCTCTCTGATACACACCATTTCTTTTATTTATTTACCTGTTGTGGGCATTCAACCTTTATTCATACTTACTGGATAACAGACACCATGTTCGATGCCAGGGCTATCAAAGTGAATAACATACATGATTTGGCTTCAAGAAATTTATAGTCAAATAAGGAAAACAGAGATTACAATGAAATTAGGGATGTCTACAGGACATTAACTGTTATTTGAGCACAGAATAAAGAATAGTATCTTCTGCTTAAAAGAATGTAGAGGATAAACAGGTATGTTTGTGTGTCTGTGTGTGTGTGTGTGTGTGTGTGTGTGTGTGTGCATGTGTGTGTGAGTGACAGAGAGAGAGAGAGAGAACGAGAGAGGGAGAGAAAGAGAGAAGAAAGATAGAGACAGAATGTCCTTCCTTTGAAAGTCCACCCCACCCCTCACTATCAATCACATCATGCCAGCTTCTGCCACAGGAGGGGACCTTTGAAGCACTGTCATTTGTCTGGGGTAATAACACAGGTTCGTTGTCTCATGCCAAGAAAATTGAAGATGTGGACACACAAGGAGTGAGTTTAAGAGCAGAAGTTTAACAGATGAAAGAAATAAGAGCACTTCCTCAAGCAGAGGAAAGGGTCCCGAATGGATTTCTGGGTTTGGGGCGAGATGAGATTGGTTTTATAGATGAGTTTGAGTAGGTTGTGTCTGATTTACCTTGGGTGTAGTGGATTGGTTGGACCAGGTGTGCTATTTACATAGTATGGGAAGTGCTGGCCATGCCACCCTAATCTTTCATTATGCAGATGGAGTCTCCACCTGGCCGGCACCATATTGCCTGATTTTTTACGGCACACGTGGTGAAAAGGGAAGAGAGAACATCCGTGTTGAATATGCCTGGCTTCCAGGCATCCCTTTTCTATTGGCACAGCTTCTGGCATTCACCTTTGCAAGCTTCTAGCTTGCTTATCTATTCTTGCAGCTTGATTTTTTAGGCTGCTTTTCTTAGAAAAGAAATTATTTGGGGGCTGGTTTTTAATAAAAGAAAAATCTTGACAAGAACTTTCTTACCCTCACTAACTGCTTAAATAATTTCTTTTTGGCTCCTGTATTATTCCTCCCCTCAGGAGTAGTAACCCTAACTGCTGTTAGAGGGTGTCGGACAAAGATTATTTCTGGCTACTTTCTGCTAAAAAGGGGCATCGAGTTGGGGACAGCAACTAGGGCTCCTCTTGAGATCAATCTAAGGGTCCTCAGAAGAAAGGTGTCCATGTGTGTTTCTGTCTGAGGCACCATTTAAAGTTTGACTGTTTCTAGGCCAAAAGAGATAAATTTTACAAGAAGGTTCGGAATGTAAGGTTTGAATATGAGTATTAAGTTACCATAATTAGTGGGGGTTCTATAGGACATAACTATGACAGTAGAGTGTGATACCTGCTTAGCCATTTTAATGAATTATAATACCAGTTTGCCTCCACCAGATGTCACTAACTTTACCAGCAGTGTTACACTTTTCTTTGCCTAAGTGGCATTGAATTGGGTGGCTAGAGTAACTTTAGTGTTAACTTTGGCTATAGTTTTCCAGCAATTATTAATCTTGTCATAAAGATGATAATTAGGCAGAATATTACAGCAATTAGAATTTTCCAACCAGAATTCCACATTGCAGATGCCACAATGTGTAGTTGTATTGCAAATAGTAGAGCATGTATAACAATTCCCACAAAGGCGGTATAGTAGGTCATTTCCACCTAGAATTTTCACTCACCAAGATATAGAATTCTCTTTGGGGTTTTATGAAGTTACAAATGTAATCCCATGAATAAATAAAATCTCCCTGCAAATGCATCAAAAAGTTCTAATATCTGGCAGCAAATCTCAAGAGGAAAGGTAGAAATGACAAAAAGTATTTGGTGAGGTAAAGGTGTGACTGAGTAAGATGTGTAGCCCTTACTCATTTACTTATCTTTTATTATTTTCAGTTTA